AAACTGCAGCATGCACAGTTCCAGTGGTCAGAAAGGGACTTCCAGGGAATGATCCAAAAATACAGAGTGGGCTGGAATCTGTCACATCTATACAAGAAGTATAGATGTGGATAGTTTTGCATTTTATACCTAGACTGTGTGAACTTCTTTCCTTCTTTTATCTAGGGTGCAAAAACAATCAAAAAGCTAGCCTTTAACACTTTGTTTCATGAAAGAGTCGAACGAGCGGTGTTCAGAAATTGTAGAAATGGCTTTCCCATTCTCTTGTGCTGACTATAAAACTTAAATCACCTACTCCCGTCTTCTTCTTTGGTATTTAAATATAAATTAATTAGCAAAAAAGTCAGAATACAACATATAGGTTAATAAAAGGGATGCAGCAGAAATCATATGTAACCTTTGTCCATATACAAGGAGGATGGTTGATGCTTAAGCATACTAGTGAGAGGAAAGGGCAGACATACTTCATTAATTATTTAAAGTAAAAGCACTGCACGAGTGGTATAGTGACTCCAAACTAACAGGAACAAATGCAGTAATACCTCATAAAATATAATTAAGCAATGAAGTAACAGTTTTTATAAGACAAGTACCTTTAAAGCCAACTAACTTAAAACAAATTATTTGCTCTGCTGCAAATACCTCAATGGCCAACTACATCTGGACAACTAGATAAAGGTATATCTGGCAGCCTCTCCAGCGAGTCTGTCCTGCAGATGGACTGCTTCAGACTGCAGCTGGTAAAGGTAGTCGGCCATTTTATAACAGGCAAACCTTGCAGTGTCCTCCTTCCCCTGTGCAGTTTTTCGCGTTACGCCGCATGGACCGATTATCTACCTGTTGAACGTTGCTTCAGCTCTACAGTGTGCAGTCGATCGCCGTCATCGGCATCAGTCATAGGTAGCACAGATGGAATCTGTGCCTGGGAGTGAAGACTAACTGGAGAGGCAGAGGAAGAGCGACATCGAGGACCACCGCAACAGGGGCCTACTCTGTCTATTCCATTAGCATACACATGTGTGGTTAAATTACTGGAAAGAGTTTCATGTTATGCAGCCTCGTGCACCATTACCACCACCATTACACCCAAGTCGCACTTTCACAAAAACAAACCAAAAAAAATGCATGCCTTTAAAACAAAACAGCTAACTGCATGCAACTATTGTGTGTGCATTCTGTTTAGTGATTGGATGAGGAAAACAAACACAAACGGGTGAGTAGATGGAAGTAGAAAGCCAGAACAGAGGTCAGTTTATACTTACTACATTCATATATCTGCTCCAATTTGTCCACAGAGGACAGGGAGAAAAACTTGTATCCTGATTTGGTGCCAACAGCTAAGGACCTGTACATGACACAGAAAGGAAGCGTGGCAGTGACCAAGCACGGTGTCACAGACATACACTGAATAACAATGCACTCTGTGGTCGTTGTTACAGCCACATTGTATTAGTCTACACAATGAAAAACAGGGGGTTCGGTCTAATTTCAGTGATATCGACTAACTCCGCGTACCCTAGATACATTGGTCACTGTGGTCTCAGTGTGATTGTGATCACACGACTAACGCTGTGTTGCAATAATACCAGGCCTCTGCTGCTGAGAGCAAACACCGGCAAATTTAGTACATGACCGAGTTTAAATTCGACATGTCTATCTTAATCATATTAAAACAAATACAGTGACCCAGTTCGAGTCACAATTTCCTACAACAATTTCCAGCAGTCTTCCAGCTGTTCACCAGTAATGAGTCCAAAACACAGAAAAATCGAATTGCCTTTTACTATTTCTATCTACCGCCAGCCTGAATAAGTAATTACAATTACCCGTAGCAAATATGCGCCTACAGCACACTTAATTTACGAGCATGTTGCTAGTTAGCCTCGGACCACAAACCACTATGCTAGCTAGCAAGCTATGCTAGCATCTGATAAAATAAAAGGTAAATGGGTAGTTTAAAAGAGTAGCTAACCCAAAACACGACGCCTACTGATAGTCTTTTCTAGCATGACAAAAACTACATCTAGGAGATTTCAAATCCATTCCTGTGACCCCGCTAGGCGTCCAGACAAGTCCAAGCTGGGTTAATTAGCATTAGCTAGTTTCACAGCACAGGCCATCCGATCCCAAGCCACTTTCCCCGGCCCTGCCTTACGTGTTGTCCTGGTTAAAGTTGGCGAAGAGCAGCTGGCTTCCGCCAGCGTCTCCGCTTTGACTGGCCAGGTTCATGGGTTCGGCACCATCGACGTATAAAGCTTCAGTAGAAATAGCAGCAGCTGGACTGAATACAGTGGTAAAGACCAGAAGTGTTGAGCTTTACGGAACCATCTCTGTTTGCTGCTCTGCTCTAACGATTGTTGTTGTTTTCCACAGGAGCTTGTTGCTCACCCCCAATACGCATGCGTTATGCGCACAGCGTGCAGTTCCTTTAAAGGGCCATGACAGATTTTAATAAATGAGCTCCCCGGACTCTAAACAGGAAACGATACAAAACAAAAAATATGAAATGAACAAAAACAAAACATTTAAATAAAGAAAAACCCCACAAACAAAATTATGGTAAAACGGTAAACATACTGGTATCTCGGTTTCTGTCCTTTTTAAACCAATAGGGAGACAGAAACCAGGACCAATCACGACTCTATCAGAAGACTCCTCTGTACATTGAGGATTTCAGAGAACCAGCGCCCCCCATCGTTACATTGTGTAAAAGTCATCTACAATGGAGGCGCTGCTAGCAAGTATTTATTCTACAGTTCCCATCTCCTCATAACACCAGCATGAAAAATTATATTGTTGTATCTTTAGCTTTAATTTAGTTTAAAATTTTAACCTCCTGTTATTCTCTTTTTTAAATTATTAAATATATATAAACAATCATCAATCGAGGCAACAGGATCCTCCCTAAAATGACGATAGTCTATAGTGAATTTTTAAAATGATAAAAAGTTAGTTTTTTTTTTCTAATTTGAAGCCTCTTCAATCTACAATTTATGTGCAAGTTTTGTGTTTATTTGCCACTTCTTTTTTAAATGAATTTGTGCACTTCTTATTTCTTACTGAGTGCAGTTCCTGCTCTACACTATTGCAAAGCAAACCTCCAAATAACTAAAAGAACACTGATTGCGTGTGTGAGATTTGAAAAACTCAATGTACTGACACTTTCACTTTCACATAGTCAGATCTTTGTGTTAGAGAGAGGCAAGTGAGTGCAAACTAAGTAATGCCTTTAAAAAAGAGTTGCAACATTTCATACATCACCATTTTTTAGCCATTATCTGTTGCCTCTTCAGTTAATGTGCCGCAGTTTACAACATTTTAACAGATGCTGAAAGGATCATGTAGAGCAGCTTTCAACATATGTGAACATCAGATATTAAAATTGTATTACATATATGTCTAAGTAGCCCGCGTTTTTTCCTTTTAGTATGCCATATTACTGAAAAATAGAAAATTAAGCTTAATAAAGCCACTTATTTGGAGCTTTCTGTGCTTTTGCAAATGCCTTCAATGACTTCAAATGAAAAACGTTCTCTTTCCTCTGTGAATTCTCATGTGGGAGCACTGGACTAAAACCTTTCACATAGCATGACAAAAGTCCCAAATTCTGGCAGTTGGAACAACAAAGTATAAGGCGTGGGATGAAAAGGAAACAGCGAGTGATCCCATCCACTGACTGAAATGTAATTTAGAGCATGAGTCATAGAATTTCTGTCTGTGTATTGGTTTCACTGGAGTTTCAGGTGTAAGTCTGAGCATGTTGGAGTGGAAATTATTCACTCACGCAAATCTGACAGGTAACGTGAAACACCAGGATGAGACAGTCTTTCCGGACAGTTTATCAGTGAGGATCTCCCGGGAAAACAAAAAGGAAGTGTATAATGTTGAAATACTGTCACCTAGTTGGCAGAGGGGTAAAAGCATAGAAAAAAAGAACACGAGTAAACTAAACATACCTTAACCAGAACTCAGTCCACTGTGGCAGACTTTTAGTGTAATGAATTACCCTGTTTACCTACAAAGATTCCACTAGAGTAGCTTTGCATGAGTCACAGTATAAAGAAGGATTATTATTAGTGCAGCCTTTCAGTTCATTCTGTGTAGAACAAGTTGTTTAAACTCTCTCCTCTTTAACACCACTTACCTTTCGTCCCATTGGCTGCTCCTTGCAAACAGAAGGTTTGAACAGCAGGTGGGTGGGGCTTGTGTGCCCACAGCCAGAACAATGACCTTTGATCTCGTTGAAAGTCTGGTGTATCCAGGATAAACACAAAACATATGGAAGCTTGGCTTCAAGAGCAGGAATCTTTAACCAGTTTCTCTCTAAGGCTCCTCTCAACATTATTTGGACTGTTTCAACACTATCTAAACTCTCATTATGAACAATATTTTGCATTTTCATAACCATGGTGACGACTCTAGTTTTTTTTACACAATCAAGATCGATTATAGAGCATCGCACACACATTTATTATAACCAGTGACTCCACCGAGAGCTTTTCATTTCTTCGTCTGCTCCAGTGCCTTCATCGATCTGAGTCAGCCGTGTCCTTTGGACCAGCCTGCCGTTTCCAGGGGCCGGGTGGCCGCCTCTTCTCCAAAGGTCTGTCAGCACAAACATGATGGGCAGAGATGTGCAGACATATCTTGCTTTTCAAATAGAAAGCAAAGCTGCAGTCCTGGCATTTGAGAAATTTAAAGGCGATTACAGTAGGAGACAGAAACCAGCATGTCTGGCCTACACAGATGTTTGTCACCACACCCCAATCTACCAGCTGTGTTACAGGATGTTAGTTTAAAATACATTCAGATACGCAGTGTTTAAAACTGAATGTTTGCAGTGAGGCTAACCACAGGCAGCTGGTTGCCTTTAGGGGCGTATATTTATAAGTATTATTCACCTGAACAAATATGGTTGTCAGGTCACTGTCCCTGATATGGAATCTTATCTGCAAACACAGCCGGGGTGGTGGCAGCAGTGTTGGTCGCCTGTGTGTGTGTGTGTGTG